AAACTGTGATTGCGCAAGGACGAAGAGCGCTGTTTTAAAAGATATTGAAATGGCTAAAATCAATGGATGGCTTGACGTTAGACCATGCACAACATAACATACTTTGGCGTTATTGGATCAGTCGACCAGCATTTCCTCATTTCTGTCGGGCAACTGAGAGGAATTATTGATCAGTGAGAACATCTAACATTTTCAGTGGACGTCCATTTATCGTTTTTATCATGATGATGAATGATTTTGATGATGTTGGATGACATGGTGATGTTGCATGACATGGTGATCTGAAATGATGATGATGACACCACAATAAATTTTAAATATATATTTCCGCAAGAGCTTTACGCGCGTATATGCGTTAATGCATGCGGAAACGCCTCATGCAACTGGCATTTATTGTGGTATTCATGATTTTTAATTAAACGAATAAAAACGACTGAATCATGTGCTCAATCAGCACGCTTCCGCAACAATTTACGCAAAGGTGAGGCGTACGTTATTCTTACGTAACTAGCATTCCGTATTTGTTTTGATTATTAGTAGTTAGTSACTGGAAGTTTTAACTTTTAGCTTGTTGTTGGCCAACAAAGTACAACAAAGTCACGTCTCTAATAAGTCRATATTCGCCTAAGCATCAAACAAACAACTAATCCACGAATATTGATAGACTATTGTGACTACACAAAAGCGTTGTTGAGCGTTTTGGTAATCTCTTTATTAAAACTCTTATCCTTGAGGACCAGGAGAGATATTAAAATCCATTACTTGTCGAATTGTATGAGTTCTAACGAACGTTATTATTTTGTTGATCGTTTATGGTTAAATTGAAACAGCATGGAAGCAGTAATAAAAGCTCACTCGCAAAGGAATAGAAAATACACTGCTGAATACGGAAGACTGGAAAACTGTACGCTTTGAAGAGCCGCCGAGTTTCGAGTTCTATACACTCATTGTTTCCATAGGTCAAATAATATATATTTTCAGTTATAAAATCCTAGCATGGCTTAAGTTATTTTATGAGCAGGCACGCCATTATTGTCCCACTCCATTTCAACGCATCATCGGTCGGTATATATTACCCCCTTGAAGTTATATTACGAACACCTTTTWCTGTTACTTTCACGAGCGGTTGTATTATAGAGGTCACCCTCAATATAGCTATCGTACCCTTTGGCCCTTTTAAAGACTGTGTAATATTTTTGTGCTTTGGTTCTATGATATGATAGACAGTTTTCATTATTAATGCATAGCAATATAATAGAGTGTCACAATCAGGTATTAGTCTATTGAATTGGTATTCAATTAAGCTTAACAAASTTAATTGAAGATCAGTGTCCATGGTAAAACGCGCTTCAGACAAACCAACACAAAACCTTAAACACAACAAGTCAGCACTGTTCAGYTTTRCAAYTAGTTATAAATGTTTTAACAGATGTAGAAAAAAGGGAAGTGATACGTTGGTCCTYGATGGCCATAAGCGGAAAAGARTGTCTTTGTTACCAAATAGCACGRAAACAGGTTTGGAGGCCTAGKAACTCTGTTGTTGACTACAGGTAAGATTTTAAGTGAGTGTGATTTTGAGAGGGGATGACTTAAGTTTGTTTTGAAAACTTTTTGATAATTAACAATAAAGCAAACGTTGGAGTTCTTTCCATTGAAAGAGTACTGAAGCATATGACATATAAAGTCATAAATTGCGCTCTATTTTGGATACTAATGAATCAAATGCCGTTATATTCCTATATTTCCCTCAAATGATCAAATGAACTCTTTTGAATATGCCTCAATACGATCTTAATATGCTGAACCGCTATTCGTAGTTCCTAGACCTGATTGGTTCACACTACGCAATGGATACGTTATACGCACGTAGAGTCGGCTACTTAGTCATGATGTGCGTGCGGTTATCAATACTGTATTACTGGCATAACTTCGTCTATTATCAGTTTAGATACAAAGCTGGTAAAATATTTTACTTAACCTACAAACCTAATTAATAAATCAAAACAACAAAATATCTGAATGAGAAATGGCGAAAAATGATTTCATCTCCTAGCTATTGGCATGTCTGAATTTACAAATAGATGCATGGTTTATATTTTTGCGCGCAGACGTCTGGGATTAAACGCTAAGCAAACAATATGTCTGCCATTTGTTTCATTTGTTTGGCATCATTGTTGAAGTTACTAACTATGGTTTACACAACATATTCAATCCAAATACACCATATAATTAACACCAAACAAGGACCACAAAGTTGCCCAAAACAGTTAGACCAATACATAATGAGAACCTTATACATTTGTTGATAAACTATAATGAGTCATGAAGAGTTGAGAGTTGGCCTGAAAGTTAGCTGTTGCGATATCATTATGATCCTTGGAAACTCAGAAAATATCAAGTTTTGTCCATGAATGCAAAAGAAAACCTGTAAAGTTTTAGAAAAATGTCGTTCGCTTGTTGTTACATTAGACACCATTTTGACTCTTTCCTGTGCCGATGGTAAGCATGCAGTCCAGAGAAGCAGCACAGGTGCTGATCCAGGACTGTTCTTTAGGGAGGGGTTAAGGGCACTTAGCCTGAGGGTGTCTAGTACAAAAATGACCGCAGATAAGACGCAAAATAAGGAAAATTATTGAAGGAGGGTCTCAGGAGGAGGTGCGCATCTTGTTAACCCACAAGTTGTATCCTCCTTAAAGTAACTTTCCTAGGAGATTATCATTTGTATCAGAAAATTATAGAAATTTTTATTTGTTTACTTGCAGTCAACCCTTGAGTAAAGTGGACGTTGCATTTGCTTCMCCACTTGGAATAYCGTTAACAGAAAGTTCAATCAGCTCGGTCAGCCACAGCCCAATTAAAGAGCAAACGATGGAGAGCCCGCGCTTTGATCAAGTGATGGARAAGACCTCATTTGCCAATCAAACCCTAACGAAGGAAAAAGTGAYGGAAAAGACCCRCTTTATAAACCAAAGCCCAACAAAAGAAAAATTCTCGGAAAATTCACCACGCTTTCAGTACACATTCAAACAAGCCGATCCTTCAACGACAAATAAAATGTATTACATCAACATGGCAAGTGRCATCACTCAAGGAGCATGCGCAGATGATGAAACATCTGTACGTTCGTACAATGACAATGTACCTCAATATTCCCCAGGTATGACTCCAAGGACAAATATTCTGTCCCACATGGCTAAGAGCAAAGTATCATGGGTTGAGGATACTTTACAAAATCGCATCGAAACAGCACATCGAAAGAGTCCAATCCTAATCAAAGGAARAAACCCYAGCAAMTTTGAAACTCCCTACGAGAAAAACCAGAGAACGAAAGATAATTCYACCAAGGGAGTGAGGGACGGGCGCCGATTTGACCTATTGCCCATATCAAAATACCTAGCTCTGTCCAAGCGCGAAGATWRCACGCACCAAGAAACTCGCCTTCCCCTCGTGCGGATAAGYTCTGTGCAAAAAATCCAAGTATTYTAYAACTCAAGACAATGCTATCCAAATACACTACAAAGGCAAAGGCTTCCAAAAACATTTTTTGCGCAAAAAAACATTTTCAAGCCAAGAGAACTTCGTAGTCAACCAACAAGGGGGGAAGCMGCGTTCGTTGACATACGTGAACAATTACCGCGTCTATATAAAAAGCAATACAACGCGCCTGTTGTTGAAATGGGAAGAGATCAGAAATTGTCTGGTGGGATGAAAGAAAAAGCTAAGATATCGTTGCCTTCAGTATCTTAGTGAACTGTCAGTCAACAGTTTTTTTAAAAACTCTCTGTGATTTATAAAGCCTCTATGATACTATTTCTTTCACTCAGTAACTTAAAGTTGTTACACTTAACCCGTGAAACACTAATGAAACATAGAAAACAAAGTAAGGTATCTACCATTTCACTGGTTGAGTGTAAGGACTGTAGTAACAAAAAATTGTCGCTAACCCTTTTCGCTTTCGCAGCTAGTTTTAGTTTGCCTGTAAATCCAAGGCACTAATGCTGGCCTTGGAGCCATTACTAACTCAAGCTCCTAAGACAATATACTTATAATAATATATATTTGCCTAAATCTACACAGATGATTTCCATGAAGGACCCATTGTATACAAGACAATATAATCCACTAATGTGTGAAAATTATCTAAAAGAGAAGGAACAAGATAGCATGAAAACCTTTGCTCTGGTTCCTTTCTATCTACTTCACTAAGTGAAGTTAAAAATGCTGACTTTAGTTAAAAAGGAAGTGACAATGGAAGGAAAAAAGGAAAATGAACAACTTCCATTCCACTTCCTTCACTTCATCCATAAAAAATGTAGCTGCAATTGAGGTCAAAGTCATTAACTTTACGGCATTTTGACCTGACTGGTAAACACTGTAATATTGTAACTGTTAGAGTGCAAACATTATAGGTGTGCAACAATAGAAAACAATATAATKAGCATACTTATKAAAAAGTTTGTACTATCAACTTTATGTTGCACACCTGAAGTGTTTGTCATATCTCATGTAAAAGAAGCTTGAAGGTTGATAAATAAAAATGACATTCAATCCAATAATATTTGTGAAGCAGCTTTTATTGTACAGAAATTCAAAGCACCAACTTAAAACTGGATCATTTGTCCCTGAAAAGAACAAAAACATGAATGTAAATTTATTTATGCAGGATTTGATTTCATTAATTAAGGAAACATTTGAAATATTAAAAACTTGAAAACAACGCAAGGCATTGTATACATTCTTTCCCTTCACATTAAAACCTATCTTTGATTATTTCATACAAAAAAAAACTTCTGAGCTAGCTGCTAAGCTCACCAAAACAGAAATTACGTTTAGAATAAACCCTTTTATGTAATAAATTCTTTTATTCACAACAGCCCRTGCAAATGCAAGAGATCTGTAAGTATAGAAKACAATGGAAATAGTCTGAAATCTCACGCATTTTATCAAAATTTCTGAATATTCTAACCCCCAAATTGATGCTAACACAGCATAAAAGAGATYGCAAAGCTCAACTATTGCCACTTTGCAACAAGACTAGAGTTTTATTTCAGAAATGCAATGTGGTCTTGGAATGCAATRTGCAGAATACAGTACTCACCTTTCGTTTCTTGTCACCACCAAGCTCAAAGTGCTTACATCTTTTCAATGCAACTTGTTTCCTGTACTTGCACTGTGTGCATTCCATACGAAGCACAATTTTCTTTGTTGTTTTGGCCTGAAATACGAAAAAACTTCCATTAATATCTTCATTCCTTGACTTGCATGGAATTTTAATCTAATCGATACAGAGAGGACATAAAAAATCACATGTCACAAGACGAAGTCAAGCGCACTCGTTCTGACCAATTAGATCACACGTAAGATTAAATAGCATCATCTATGGACATGTTCTCAACCTATCAAAGAGCCTGTAATATACCAAATATTACATAATATGTACCAGACTGGATTGAGATTCAACACATTGAACATTAAGAAAGAGGTTCTCATCGATCTCACCCATTAAGACTGGTTTCATCTGCCTTCTTTTGACATCATAACTTCCATAACTAATCCACAATTCACAAGGAACATAGGCTTTAGTTAACAAGGTATGATACATTGAAAAAGAAGGACTATGATAACTTTTAGTAACATCTATCACTTCTGAATCACAACTATACTATAACTTAATATACACTCAGATTTTTATTATAATTTGCCATGCTGCTAATTTGCAACCATTTCCTTAAATTCCACTCAAATGGCAAAGCTATAAGAATATCATATACACAGATATATATGGATTCGTTTCAACAATTTATTTCTACAACTGGAGATACTGTACCTTCTTGTGGAAGATAGGCTTCGTCTGACCTCCAAATCCAGATTGTTTGCGATCATAACGACGCTTACCTAAAGAGAACATTAAAACTGAGCAAACTACACCACAAAATTTAATAGATTTAGCAATTTCTATCTTTACCTTGGGCGAAAAGACTGGCTTTGCCTGTCTTATACTGTGTAACTTTGTGGACAGTATGTCGTTGGCATTTCGAGCCCTTGCAATAAGTACGTCGCTGCTTCGGTACGTTCACCTAAAGTCCACAATAAAACCTCCTAAGCATAGCTTAATAGTCATTCTATCAAAATGATTRCAGTTCTGGGCGTTCACGGCAACGATGACCGAGGATTTTAATAGATTTTGGTAACACTATCTCACCATYTTGTTCCTCTTGGAGAGCGAAGGGAAGAGGAAGATAATTCGTACCCAGATCCCTAATGAGCCCGGTTTGCATCAAGACGAGGCAAACGGTTATTGATTGAAGTACTTTTGTTCAAATTTCGAACATATGATCGTCAATGAAATGGATGATTTACTTGATTCTCTAATGAAGGAATACGACGATGATGGTAAAGATGAGCCAGAAGACGTCCCACCTCCTTCTTATTGTGATGAATTAATGACATTAATGAACGAAAGCCGCGTTAACGGATCCCTTTGCGATGTAAACTTAGTAGTCGAAGACGAAACATTCCCAGCACACAAAATAGTGTTAGCAGCTGGCAGTCAATTCTTCAATGGACTCTTTAACTCAGAGATGAAGGAAAAACAACAGAAGAAAATAGTTTTAAAGGAAGTAAAATCATCAGTGATGGAGAATCTACTTGAATACATGTACACCGGAAAGACCGAAGTCCACGAAGAGAACGCACATGACTTGGTCAGGGCCTCGAGCTATTTTCTTGTTGATGGTCTTAAAGAAGTAGCAAGTTCCTTTATTTGTTCGTGTTTGAGTTTAGAAAAYTGTCTRAAGACGAGGGAATTTGCTGAGAAATACAACTGTCGCTCTTTAGAAGAAAGTTGCAAGGAATTCCTTAGGAATAATTTTGTTGATATCATTGAAGATGAAGAGTTTTATAATCTTGAKTATGAGAGCATAGAAGAGTTGGTTTCTAATGAGGATACAGCTATAAACAAAGAGGAAGTAATGTAYGAGACAGTTAAAAAGTGGGTGATGAAGTCTGCAGCTACACGCAAGAAGCATTTCAAGAGTCTCTTTTGCCACATTCGTCTTCAGCAAATCTCTAAAAAATATCTAAACACTGTTATTTTGAAAGATGAACTAGTTACTGGTACTATGTCTTGTATGCAGTTTGTGTTGCATAGTTTAAGTACAATGGATTCCCTTCCTCCACTTCTAAAACCACGATCGGCCATTGATGAACATAARGAYGCKGTTGTTATATGTGGTGGATTTGATGCTGACAACACTCCAACAACCTCAGCTATGTGTTTCATTCCGTCCCTCAATGAGAWTGAATCCTGGAGGTTGCTAGCTCCCTTGTCTTCTCCTCGSTATGGGAGCAGCTCRGCCTTCTGTGGTGGCTTCTTGTACTCAATYGGAGGATGGGAGCCYCCAGACGATGGTGATGAACCAGTTGATGTTGCCGTTAAAACWGTTGAAAGATACGACCCAACTACAAACACCTGGCTRAAGGTTGCACCTCTTCCRAATGAGCCAGAAAGATGGGTGACTGCCACRTCTCTTGATGGCAAGATTTACGTGCTCTGCACAAGTAACAATCTCTTCAGCTATGACCCAACTCAAAATATCTGGGATTGTGTCCCCTCTACTCCATCTAATGAAAGTGAGATCCATGGYGCATGCCTTGTTGCTTGCTCCAGCAACTTGTATGTTATTGGTGGATTGGACGTCAATAACACAGTTATGAGCAGATCTTTGAAGTTTGATCCCGAGACATTAGAGTGGTCGCTGTTGACCCCCATGAGTGTGCAACGGTACTTGGCATCGGCAGTGACAAAAGCAAATAGAATATATGTGATTGGTGGTCTCAAGCAATATGAGAGTGATGCTATGGGGTGTGCACTTGGTAGCTGTGAAGTGTACAATATTGAAAGAGATCACTGGGAAATGCTACCAAAGCTTCAGAACCCAAGATATTCAGYTGGAATAGCATGCATTTGGGATGACATTTATATCTTTGGAGGGGAACACGAGGGCGAGACACAGGACAATGTGGAGTACTTCAATCAAGAGAAGGGTCATTGGGAAGTTGTTACAACAATGCCGTGCCGTAGCTACTTTAGTTGTCACTGGGTTAGGATGCCTGTTAATTACACTCAGCTCGACGTGATCAAGCCTGAGTCATTTGCTTTATTGTAGCAATAAATACTATAAGAGTGTTCAAAACATAGGTAAATTTTATATATTGCAAAGTACATTTTCAGGAACACATCCTGTGATCTGTTGCTTGTTCCTTGCTGAGCAAACAGATGATTACAATGAGAGTTCCCAGGGTGCACAAARCACAGCTGTTTTAATAATTTATATAGTTAAAAGGAGTGAAGTTTTAAATATAAGTGAGGATAAAAATCTACTTGCATGCAAATAAAACATACAATAAATTATAATAAATGTTGGTGGAGAGGATTCATTTTAAGACTGTGATCACTTAGGGCCTAGCATTTACACTTATGTTTT